GCGGGAGGGTGAGAGAATTCACCAGAGTCAGAGCGGGGAGCAGAAGAGGCAGAAGGACCGAAGTACACCGCTGAGGGGAGCAGCAGGTGGCAGGAGGGGTCTGCGCGCCATGTGGGACCCTCCTCTGGTGGCCGGGGAGCAGCCAGGGATGGAACCAGCACTGCAGAGGCTGCGGGCAGCTTCGCAACCCAGCGCTCAACAGCTGCGCCACCGGGGAGGCCCTCGACCTTTGCTCTTGATGTTACCCTGCCTGGCTTTACCCTCTCTCCCTCTATGAATCCTTCAACAGCCACCTCAAACTCCAACCCCAGCTCCTCCAGAAGACCCACCGGGCTACGCTCACTCTCCCTGATTTCCTCTCTCTCCAAAGCCAAGTTGCCCGGCATCAGGTGGTAAAGTGATACTCCAAGATTGCAGAGTCTCCTCTCCTTCCAGTCTATCCTCCCTGCTACCACCAGTATGATATTTGTGGAATACAAATGTAACTGCATCACTGTCTCTGTATAGACCTAGACTCCCAAACATGACATTCAAAGCCATTCCCAACTGTTTCCATTCTTCTGTCTGGCTTCATTTCATGCTTCAGCTCCATTCACCAAGGCTTGATCAGATGAGGTGAGGCTAGAGCAGCTCCACCTCATTCTACACACACACACACACACACACACACACACACACACACACACACACACACACACACACAGAAGCTGCCACCAGGGAGACCACTGGGTTTGCAGCCTTAGCATATACTTTAGCACCATGGACAGCGCCGGGGAACTCAGGCTCTGGGTGTTCCTATCAACAGAATCCACCTGTAAGCAGGCACACATGGCTTTCACACAGCAGGCATTTGTTGAGCACTCGTTTCATATCCCACTCCTGACAGATGTTATGAGAAATACCAGACTCCAGAGTCACTGACTGTTACTCCCCCAAGGAACTTACAGTGCAGGTAGGATATTGGTCACCCTGCGACCTACCTCCTGGCAGGTTGCCACAGAACCATGTTTACAAACCACAAATCTGACCATAGTATTCCCCGAAAAGGTCCATGGCACCCCTCACCATTGCTTATAAGGTAAACTCCAAGCCATGCAGCATGACATCCAAGGCCCAGCTACTCTCCTGTTCCCCTGCCCTCGTCAACTCAACACTCCTGCCTCACTTGACTTCATTCATTCCCAAACATGCCACGTGATTTTCTCACTCCCCCTCCCTTGCATTTCTTCTCTTCCCGGAGAACTCCTGCAGAGCCTTCAAAACTCAAATATGTCCTCCCCCTGGAAGTCCCAAAGTTATTTGTTCCAGCCTCCATACTCCCAGAGGCTATGTCCATACCTGCACCCCCCAGCACCATTGAACCACCTGACTCACATCAGACAGAAGCCAGATCTGTCTGGGTCAGAACAGGAGTGGCAGCCCCAGCAGTGTGCAGGGGCTTTCTAACAACTGCAGCTGGTCAATCGCAATGCGTGACACCAGTGTTTGATTCAGATTTATCTACAAGCCTAAAAATAATACCAAAGCTGTGCTTTTTATGTCAATTTTTCATTCTAGAAACCTGTATGCCTTATCTTTTTTTTTTAAGATTTATTTATTTATACAAGCACTGGGTACAGTCAGAAGTGCGGGAGGGTGTAAGGATTCAGCAGAGCCAGAGCGGGGAACAGAACAGACAGAAGGACCGAAGTACACCGCTGAGGGGAGCAGCGGGCGGCAGGAGAGGTCTGCGCGCCATGTGGGACCCTCGCCTGGTGGCCGGGGATCGAACCGGCGCAGCAGAGGCTGCGGGCAGCTTCACAACCCAGCGCTCAACCGCTGCGCCACCGGGGAGGCCCAGGATGCCTTATCTTTGGGAAAAGAGAGCATTATTTATTATACAGCCCATATGTCCAGTAATTGTTAGAATATGGTTAAATAAAGCACAGTCTCCAATGGCTCGAACAGATGTGAAGCTCAGATGTGTTCCTTCCATCCCAAAGCCCCTGCCCTTTCCTCACAGCCTGCAATGGCCAGTAAGGCTCTATTTGAGCATTTTCAGCAGGACCTAATAAAGGTCTAAACTTGACCCAAGTCTTGGAAATAGGGACGGGGAGGAATCAAACTCAATATCCTTCTAAGTGGGAGTGCTCCCCCATCAGCCCACCATCCAGGACAGACGTGGACAGACTTGAGCCAGGCCGAGGAGCCCCTTAGACTGTGCGTGGTGACCATGACACACCGCTCACTGGGGAAGGGCCATTTCCATGACTCTGTCTGGCAAAAGGCAGACACAGCTGGAGGAGAGCAGCCGAGGCTGCATCACTTCTCACAATTTCATGTGAATTATTTCATCACAAGAATGGTCCCTATAAAGAGGGGAGGAGATGGAGTCCTCCGCCTCTCCATAAAGCTGGGGAACATGGCATTAAGCACGAGGCAGGTGGGGGGGGTGCTGGGCAGGAGCCCCAGGCTTGGAAACTTAAGACAAGCCCTGCATTTACTGGGGCAGAGGGGGAGACCCCTGGCAAGTCCCCATGCTCCCTGGGAATCAATTCCACTTTTGTAAACATTTTATTATGAAGAATTTTAAACTTAGAATCATCTAATGATACTCAGCTTCGACAGTTATCAAGTCCCAACTTATTTCCTCCATTCTTGCACCCACTCCGCCCATATTTTTTTTTAAGTTTGGGGGTGGAGAGGATTTAGTTCTTAGTGTAGAAGTTTCTTTTCTTTTTTTTAAAGATTTGTTTATTTATACAAGCACTGGGCACAGTCAGAAGCGCGGGAGGGTGAGAGAATTCACCAGAGCCAGAGCGGGGAGCAGAGCAGGCAGAAGGACCGAAGTACACTGCTGAGGGGAGCAGCGGGCGGCAGGAGAGGTCTGTGAGCCATGCGGGACCCTCCTCTGGTGGCCGGGGAGCAGCCGGGGATCGAACCGGCGCTGCAGAGGCTGCGGGCAGCTTCGCAACCCAGCGCTCAACTGGTGCGCCACCAGGGAGGCCCTCCCATATTATTTTTAAGCCCATCCCAGGCATCCTATCACTTCACCTACAAATATTTCAGCTGGTATAAAGGCAAGGACCCTTTCTGAAAAGCTTAAGTTTGAGGCCATTATAACATCTAACAATACTGATGATTGGATTATAACAAATATTTACTCCATGTTCAAATTTTCACTTGTCTCAGAATGAGTTTTGTCTGAATCAAATGCCCACATCGCTAAGTTAGCATGTCTTTTATCTATAAACCTCCTGTCCATCTCTTTCTCCTTCCTTATAATTTATTAACTGAAAAACCCACAATGTGGATTTTGTCCATGGGTCAATGTCCTCATCTGTCAAATGGGTGTCACCACTCTCTCCAAGAATTAAGTGAGGGCCTCCCCAGTGGCGCAGCGGTTGAGCGCTGGGTTGCCAAGCTGCCCGCGGCCTCTGCGACGCCGTTTCGATCCCCGGCTGCTCCCCGGCCACCAGAGGAGGGTCCCACATGGCGCGCAGACCTCTCCTGCCACCCGCTGCTCCCCTCAGCAGTGTACTTCGGTCCTTCTGCCTGCTCTGCTCCCCGCTCTGGCTCTGGTGAATTCTCTCACCCTCCCGCACTTCTGACTGTATCCAGTGCATGTATAACAAACAAACAAAACTAAATAAATAGATAAAATAAATAAATAAACATGCCTCTATAAAAAAAAATGTTAAAAAAAAAGAATTAAGTGAGGTAATATTTATGAGTGGGCACTGACAACTGGGAGGCATACCACAAATGACATGTGCTGATGTGTCTTTTCAGTCTTTCCGTCCTCTGTGGCTTCTGTGTTTCTGATGAGGACACTGAGAGGTTCTGAACAGCTTCAAAACCTGTCCATGCTCGTAGCAGGATGAGGAAAGCTGGAATAACGCTGACCTTAGGCAGAGACTTAGCTGGAACGCCACAGTGCCTACTCTGGAGAAGCCTGGGCTTCTGGGCCTCCCGGATGGCGCAAGGGGTTAAGACGCAGCCTATGAAGCTGTCCACAGCCTCTGCAGCACGAGTTCCATCCCCGGCCAGGGAGTTACCCACATGGCACAGCAGACCTCTCCTGACTTACCCACTGCTCCCCTCAGACATGTACTTCAGCAATCTGCCTGTTATGCTTCCCACTGTCTCTGGTGAATCCTCTCACCCCCCCACACCTCCGGCCTGTACCCCAGCTCTTGTATGCATAAATAAATATTTAAAAAAAAAAAAAACACCTAGGCTTCTGCTGCCTGAGATCAGCCAGGAGGCGGGAACTGCATGAGGTTGATGAGACCATGTGAGATGAGCCCCTGCATGGGTCCCTCCCCAGCTGCCTTGCACCCTGTGTCTGGGTAAGGCTCGCAATTCTGGCAGTGGGAAGCCTGGACCCCTAGTCTGCCCTGAGCCCACCCGCAGGCTGGCAGTCAGGGTGGGCGGCCTGCAGCAGCTGAGCATGCTCTGTTCTGGGTGGCTTGGGCAGGCGCCTGTGACCTCCTGGGCTGCAGGAAACAATAAGCTATTCTTCCTCCTTTCCCTCTGTTTTGCTGCTCATCCCGTGGCCAAAGGGCCCAGAGAGAAATGAGCGACTCCCAGCAGTGCCCAGTCCGTCTGTGCAGCCCAGTTGTCTGAGTTTTCGTCCTGTGACTAAGGCACAGGTCACATCAGAGCTGACACCAACACTCAGATTTCTACCAAACTGTTATTCATCCAGTCCCAGGCGGCAGGCTGGGCCCTGCAAATAGTGGTAACAGTAATAGTAACCAATAATAGCCCACGCTTATACAGTACCTACTTATGGTCACACAGCTCTAAGCGCTATGCAGGAGGCAGGTACCAACTCTGCCCCCTTTGACAATGAGGAAATTGAACACTGAGAGTGTGAAGAACCGTCCCAAGGTCGCATAGCCCAAGGTCAGTGGTAGAGTTGGGATATGAAGGCTGACACTACACAGGGAGGGATTCAAGCCCTGCTCTCGGCTGTCACATATGCCAAGCTCCATGCTTGCTGCTTTCAATATACAGGCACACCTCATTGTCTTGCGAGTCACTTTATTGCACTTCAAAGATATTGCACTTTTTACAAATTGAAGGTTTGTGACAACCCTGCTTCCAGCAAGTGTATCAGCGCCATTTTTTCCACCATGTTATTAACATTTCTAAGCAATAAAGTACTTTCAAGTTAAGGTATGTACATTGCTTTTTTAGACACGATGCTATTGCACATTAATAGACTACAGTATAATATAAACATAACTTTTATATGCACTGGGAAACCAAAACGCTCACATGACTCGCTTGATTGAGATACTGGCTTTATTGCAGTGGTATGGAACCGAACCCCCAATATCTCTGAGGTGTGCCTGTTTCGTCCCATTTAATCCCCACAACAGCCTTGTGTATGAGGAAGCTAAGGCTCAGAGAGGTAGAACAAGGTCCCGAGGGCAAACAGCTGGCTCCACTTGGCTCCAGCATCACTCTCTGCTCTCCCAAGCTGAGACTAACATGTGGAAGCACATCTCTAGAAGCCAGCGGAGAAGGGGGTGGGGTCTGAGGAGGGTGGGAGAACGGCCGGCTACGGGCACTCAGCAGAGGGTAGAATTCTCTTCCTAAAGTTTCCTGGAAGAGGGGCCATGCCGTGAGCTGGGCCTTGAACACGGAAAGACACCAAGACAGACCCAGCCCCTGCCCATCACAGCAGCTTCCCAGAGGCCCAGGCCGCAGCACCGTTTGTCCGGTTGAGACAGCAGGTCTGGCCGCTTCACCCCACCTTCTAGCTGAGTGGATGGAGCCTCAGAGAACACGTAGCATGAGGGCCCAGGCCTTGGGCCTGACCCTGACCTGTCTAGCAGGGAGGGGGATACCTGGGGGGCTGGAGGTGGTGATTGAGGAAAGATTCCCCCCACCAGACTGTTGTCATACATCGTCACCACTCTGGCTACAGTCTAGCTCCCCAGTGGACTAAGTGCCCTGCAAGCAGGTGCTGGGTCCATCTTGGTGGCCTCTTGTTTCCCAGGTCCTGGCAGAGTGGGTGTGCGGGAAACTAATAAAGAGAGGGAGGAGGGGCAGTTCTTGCCCCAAATCCTGAGGACCTTAGACTCTGACCCAGCCCAGAATCATCAGGACCCGGTGTGACAACCACACACCAAAAGGAGCAGTTTCTGGAGGAAATGGAGAGGTTTCCTTGGAGGGGCATCCTTAAGGGCACACTCGTGCCTCAGGGTTTTCCCACGTGCCCCCAGAGAAAGACGAGGGCTATAGGAGGGAAATCCTCGATTTTTCGGCTGACTTGAGAGCTTAACAAGCAGAGGGACCGCAGTCCCCAGGACACGTCCATTCCGCCACAGGTGTGCAACCAGGGGCAGGGAAGCCCCTGAGGCCCCAAAGGAGGGTTTCCGCGTGGAGGCCTGGGCCTCAGGCCCTCCCAGTCCTACGAGGAGTTATCCTGTCAGTCTGCTTTTGGACCCTGGAACGCCCGGGTTCCATTCTGTTCTGACACCGCCACGGAAGAGCCTGTGAGCCGAAGCTGCGCCAGGAGGGTGCTGCTCTTCCTCACGCCATCCTTGCCCGACTCCACTTAGGGGATGATGTTGTTACTCCACTTTACAGGGGAGAAAAGTGAGGCTCACAGAGGCCAAGTGGCTTCTCCAGAGTCCAAGCTTGGAACTGCCTCCTGGGTTTGGAATCAAGCCTATCAGACTCCAAAGCCATCCTGCCTCGGCCCGATTCCAGCACTCTGCGGTCCCCAGGTTCTCGTTGTGGCCTGAAACCAGAGTCCGTCCTCTGGGAGCGGACCGCAGGGCTCCCAGCGCCACCGCGGCCTGGCCCCTGCCCGACCGCCGCGCCCGCCCGGCCCGGCCGCAGTCAGCAACGTGGTTTCCCGAACACTCTCCACCACGGCAGCTTTGACCATAATGGTCCCCGCGAGGGGTTGCTGGTCAATTTTCTTTGCTTGGTTCTCAATTTATTTTAAAAGGGAAGGTGGCTGAGGTCCAAAGGGGACCGTGGGCTGCCCCCACCCCCATGACCTCCATGTTCATCTCATACTCTGGCCACAGCGCGTCATTTCAGCTGAATTTTATTTCCTCTTATTATAAATGGGCACAGCACGGGAAGTGTTAAAAAAACAAAAACAAAAACAAAACAAACAAAAACCCAAACAGTCCCTTCACGAGGCTGGGACAGGCGAGGCCCCGCGAGGGGCAGGGCCTCGGTCTCTTTTTCCAGTCTTTTTCCTCCGCTTTTCCTTGTTCCGAGTTTGGCCATGAACTCAGGACAGTCGTGGTTAATACACAGGTTACGGGGGGAGGGGCACAGGGGAGGCCGAGGGGAGGGAAGGACAAGCTCCCGCCCACCTCCGGCCGGGTCCTCGGGGGGCTCTGTACAGGAGAAAGGACACACGGGAGGGACACTGTCTTCGGGGGCTCTCTGGAGCCGCGCTGCCTACGGAGTATTTACATGCATTTGCCACGCTGGGGCTGCCGCACCGGGCCGCCGGGGGCGCCTGGGGTGCTGGGGTCATCAGCCCTTGGACGGCGACTCCTGACCCAGTCTCGGCGTCTCTGTAAATCTGTACACAGTTTGTGGGCTTCTATTTACAGGCAGGAGGCCTGAGGAGGCAAGTCCAGACTGGTGGCTGGCTGTCAGAAGAAATTCAGGAGGGCCGAGGAGGAGGTGGCGGCCACAACTGCTCCAGAGGCAGAGATGGGTCTGTCCCCTGTGCCCGGGCCCCAGCCTGGAGGCCTGGACAGGTGGCTTTGCCAACCCCAGGGGGTCTGGCCCTAGCATCCCAAGCCACTGCCTGCAGACTTCTGACCAGCCCTGGATGCCACGCATCGCCTCCAGCAATCAAGGTGACCAGCCTTTCAGGAGAGGCGCCCCTTCCGGCCCCCACAGAGACAGAGCCTGGGCTCTAGAAGTCATAGCCAGGGGGTGGGCGCAGCCCCCAACTCCCCAAGAGGTTCTCAAGCCACAGAGTCTCCCTCTCCTTTGGAATCGGGCTGCATCCAATGTACCTAGGAGCTCCAGCTCCTTTTAACCAACCTCTTGTGGGTTGTCTTGCCCAAGTGTGGCTGGCAGGGGTGGATTTGGGCTGTCAAATTTCATCAGGATAAAACCTGGACATTTGTCTAGAGTCCAGGGCACCATGTTGGACACGCCTGGCCTCTTCTCTCAAATGATACTGAGAAGAGACAAGAATCCCAAGGCCTGAACCAACTCGGGATGTGGGAGGTTGGGCCTACTGAGGCGAGGCTGGACGACACAAGCCACTCCCAGCCCTCACCAGCCAGCCTAAACCCTGATCTGTGCTATGCTGGACCCCGCCCCCACTTCGAGCTCCAGTCCCAGGTAAAGGCTGCACCCACTGCTGGGACTCCAACCCAGCCCAGCTTCCTAGGGGATCCACACCCCATCTCCTCCATGCTCCTGGTTTCTCAGCCTTGGCCTGCCCAGGCCTTCTCACCAGAGCTGCCGCCCAAGGCAGCAGCCCACCAGGGAGCCGGAAGAGGGAGGCTGGGACTTTTGCCTTCTCTGCCCTGGGTGCCCCAGTGTTCCGGGGTCACAGGTGAGGGCACCTCTAACACTGTGGGTCAGGATGCCTCTCCCCCACTCCGACCCTCTCAACAGCGGGGCTGGGACCAGTTGGGCTCCTCCAAGCCTCCGGGCTCTGCTGAGATCCTTTGGGATCTAAAAAATGGAACCCCAGCCCAGAAGCAGGATGGTGGAAAAAACAGGCTGTGGGGAGCTCCCTGCAACCTTGCCCTCAGCGCCTGGGGCACCGCCACCCCTCACCCTGCAGAAGTCTGTTGCCAGGAAGTCTTGAAAAGGGAACAGAAAAAAAAAAAAACAAAAAACAGGGTTCCTGATTGGGTTGGGGTTGTGGGTGAGGGGTAGGGGTGTAAGCACCAGCCAACCACAACTCAGACCACATTCCTTGGCTACAAGAGCCCCCCAACAAACACAACCTCCCCCAAGGAAGATTTGTGACCCCACACTTAAAATATCTACTGAAGTGGCCCCACTTACAAGGGTAACAAAGAAGGGAGAGGGGCTGGGGCCTGTACACCCCCACCCCACCTGTTCTAATCCCTCATCCACAGCCCTGGGCCTGGGCAGTGCACCTGGATGGTGCTTCCAGCAACCGAGCCATCCAGCCAGCCAAGAGAACCGCCAGGTTGTTTGGCCAAACGAGCAGGCAGGGGTCCATGGGGAGGGCCTGGGGGAACCCCAGGGTGGGGCTGAGGTGGGCCTGGCAAGGCCGATGGGAGAGGGTACAGAGGGCCCGGCGGCAGGGCCCACCCTCGCAGGCACTTTGGAGACGTGTCCTGGGAGGCAGAGTCGGCCCCCTAGCTCAGAGCAGGAGGGGAAGTGGGGGCCAGGAGCCAGACCGCATGCCACTCCCCACCCAGCCCTCTGGTCCCGGGAGACCCAACCCCCTCCACATCCCGGGGGCCCAACTCCAGGAACCAGCCTGCGTTTCTCAGTGGGGGGCTGGCCCCAACTCAAGCCCTTGGTGGGCTACAGAGGGTAGGGGAGCAGGCAGGGGAGGCCAGCGCGCGTGCAGTGAGCAGTGCCCTGAGGGGACTTGTGGCAATGCCCCACCACACCACACTGTGCCCACCTGTCCTCCTCCAGTGTGAGATTGTGCATCCACATGGGGTTCGGGCTGACACATTGGGCAGTGGCAATGCAGTTGGTGTGGGCGTCGTGGTGAGGGGCTGAGTGTGACCGGGCAACTCGGGACCCAATATGGGCTGATTGTTCCCGCTCAATCCTACCCTCCCCAGTGAGCCTGAAAGCTGGAGACGAGAGTGGTGCCAGGGTGTGGGGGTGGGGAGGAAGGACAGAAGGGAGGCAGGTCACACCGTCACTGGGTGACGATGACTAGTGACTTGCATTGTCATAAGCGTTAGGGGTATGTGAGAAATTCATGGGAATAAACATCTTTGGAAGAATGCACGTGTCCGTAATATGTCTTGATTGGCTGGGTGGGCAGGATTGTGTATGGTTTTGCCATTGCATGCTTCTGTCTTTGTGGGTGACCTTGTGGGAGATGGTGTCTGTACAGAATCCACTACGAAGAGGGAGGGCAGAGCAACCCAGCTCCCCCTGACCAGTGGCCAGAGCACCCAGGAAGCTGATTCCTCAGGGGCAGACTGGAAAAGAGGTGACTGTGCATTGGGTGGGGGTGGGAGTTGGAGAATGAACCCACAATCCTGGTGGGACCAGGACAAAACTGGTGACAAGGAGTACCATCTCACTCAGGCAGAGAGGAGCCCTGAAGAGGAGCAAGCGGTGTCTTGATGACTTCAAGGGCTGAGCTTGCCAAATGCTTGTCCTACCAATCAGCCCAAGCCTCTCTGTTCCCAAAAGGAGACCTCAGTCAGCCCAGCAGGGAGCAGGTTGGGCCTCAAGCCCTTCGCAAGCCCCACCCCTTCTTCTACCAGCCAATCAGGAGCTTCCTTCCTCCTGCCCATCTCACTTGAGGTCCTGAAGCCCTAGGCTGCTAGGAGGAAAGCAGGGTGGGGCTGGGAGTGAGGGCAGGAGTGGGAATGAGATGAGCTCCTAAGGGCACAGCCTGGGCAGACCTTGAGGGTGGGCAGAGATGAACTGGGGCCAGGCTCCCCATAGACCCAGTCCCAAGCCAGGGCTGGTGGGGCCGTCCCAGGCAGGGGACTGGGCAGAAGGGCGGTGCTGAGGCTACAGGGAGGCACTGTGGCTCCGCTAGGCATAGAACTCCTCCTGCTTGTCAGGCTTCTGGTACGTGACGCTCGCCTGCTTGGGCTCTTCCAGCGTATAGCTGCCCTCGTCCTTCTTCTTCATGCGGTAGATGAGCAGAGTGACCAGGAAGGCGGCGAAGAGGGCGCCCACCACCCCGCCCACAATCACAGCTGTGGAGGAAGAGGGCAGAGGTCACAGTCCAGAGGCAGGGAGGGACAGTTCAGAGCCTCAGCAGAGGCCAGTAGAGCCCTGGGATCGGGGGGGGGGGCAAGAGTGGGCAGAGGACTGGCAGTTCTGCATCTGAGACTGGGGGCAAAGTGGAGTCAATTCTAACATGACCAACACTGGCTGCCATTCATAGGCCCTCGCTGCAGCCTGGCTCCCTTCCTGTGCCCTGGCACTAACTCATCAAATCCTCACACAGGACCTCATGCCACCTATGGTCCTCATCAAACACAGGAGGCCGTCAGTCAGAAGATGATCCAGTGTTTTCTACACCATTAGAAAAGATTGTCAACGAAATTATGACACATCCCAACTACAGAAGAGTTAACAGATGTGCAGCAAGGACTGATTATGTGCAAAATGACTACCCCCATTCTATAGATGAGGAACAGGGAGTCTGGAGAGGTGAACGGCTTAACCCAGGACACACAGGTCCTAAGTGGGGAGCAGTGTTTGGACTATGAGTCCAGGGACTCTTCAAGGAAAGTGGCCAGGGCTGGTCTTCAGGAGCTAGGTCAAGGGTGGGGGTAGGTCAAGCCAAAGGATGGGGTCAGAGATTAGGATCCAGGGTGTGAGATCCATAAGGAGTCAATGAGAGTGACCGGTAATCAAGGTCACAGTCTGAGGAGGGGTCAGAGGGCACTGAGGAAAGTGCTAGAAGTGCAAATGAAGTCAGGGTCAGTCTTGGGGTGGGGGAAGAGGAGAGGCAGAGGGTGGGCCCCAAGGGTGAGTTCCCAGCTTTCCCTTCCAGGAAGCCCACACCTTGACCTCCCTTCTGCGTTCCTAGAAGCCCAACTGAAGGTCAGCCCAGCTGCCTCCCTCTGCAGCCCTCCCAGATCCCTCTGGGCCCAGACCCCGAGTCTCACCTACGAGAACCTCCTTCCGCTCCAGGATGCTCTTCTGAGGCAGCTGAGCAGCCGAGCTGCCTGAGTCGATGGCATTGTCGAGGAGGCCCGGGCCTGGGGGGGCACCCTTGGGCAGCACTCCGGGTGGAGGTGAGGGCTTGGCTGTGGCTCCACCCACGGCCACCACCTCATTGGCTGTGTCTGGCTGTGTGGTTTCTTCCTCTGGTAGCTCAAAGTCCCCACTTGGACCCCCACTCACTGGCACCTCAGGTTCATCCCGGAACGTGGTCAGGAAGGACTCCGGAGTTGGGGTCTGTAAGGAGGGTAACATGAGCCCAGAAGCCGGATGCCAGCAGCCACAGTCATGCAAGCAGCCCATAACCACCATTCGCCTTGCCCAGTGGGACCCATTCACCAAGCACTCGCATGTGCCAGACACTGTGCAAAGCACATTCTGTATATTTTACCCTTACAACATCTCCATGAAGGAGGCACTGTCACCCCCAATTTACAGAGTAGGACATGGACCAGAGGCAGGAAGTGACTTGCCCAAGAGCGCACCACTAGTAATTAACAGAAGCAGGACTGAAACTCGGATTATCCAACTTCATGCTCTGTATTTCTAACCAACCCTACACTGTTTTCACCTGGTCAATTCCTGTCCGCATCCTGTCTCTAGCCTTGCTGCTCCAGACGACTTATTAATAAGCCTTGGGGGTTTTCCCTGAGAAGCTGTTTTGGGGCAGCTGTTATAACTTGGACCTATCCCCTGTCCACCTGCCTGTGGCAGGGATGAGTCCCTTAGCCTGGAGGGCATCCCAAGAACACCACTGCAGAGAATGATGTCCCTTGGGGTCAGGTGTCCAAGGAACTAGCCCAATGACCCCAAATCTCAATGACTCCCACCGTGTGGAGGCAGAACCAGAGCTGGGATCAGGGCAGAGGTGTAGCTGGTGGGCCTGGTGTCTGGAGCGAGGAGAGGCCTGCACAGAAGCCACACCAGGAATCTGGGCACCAGGTCCCCCACTGTTTGCCTTCCCTGCTTGGCCAAGTTCTGTAGAAGACCAGGCGGTTCCCTCTGCTCAGCAGAGCCAAGGGCAGGGCCTGCTGGGGCTGACCAGGGAGAGGAGCCACCGCGCCTGGCCCAAGACAGTTCCACAGCCTGAGAGACCCTTCTGTGAGCCCCAGCTGCAAAGGGCTCCACACCCCAATCGATATCACCATGTCCCCATCTCACCCACTGTACCCAGCAGGGAACAGGTGACACCTCCCGTGTCTTTGATCCCATCCATCCCTGACATTCTTGACCTCCTCAGTCTGGTCCCGTCTATCCCTAGCCCCCACCCATAAAACCCAATCACACACGCTCTGGCCTCTGGGGCCCACTGCTGGGTTCAAATCCTGACTCTGGCTGACCACAGTGGGCTGTGAAGCCTTGGGCAAGTGGCCTCCTACGTAAAAGGAGAGTGACAGCAGTGTCACCCACGGGTGGCCATGAGGATGAGAGGTGGCACAGGTATGGTGTTTTGCTCTGCGCTGTCACCCAGGCAGCCCACCTCAAGGGTGAGCTAAAGGCTGTCTGTCCCCACAGTCCAGCTCTTAGTAAGAGACTAGTAAAAGTATCAACCACCACAATGATGACAATAACAGTACTGAAACTTTTGAGTTTGGGACTGCCGGGCACTGTTCTAAACACCTGGGCCGGTCAGGAGACTAATTCTCACAACACGAGGACTTGCAGCCTCTCATTTTCTCCTTTTCGCAGAGAAGGAAGCAGAGGCAGAGAAGGGATTCTAAAATCAGATGGACAAGAAGTGGCAGCGAATTCCAATTGGAGTGCCTGGCTCCTGAGTCCATGGGGTTCACCAGAACCCAGGCCCCTAGCACCCCCACCCCCATGACCAACACTCCCCCCCCAAGTCAAGTCTCAGTTCCCTAAAGGCCTGGTCCCTCTTCCAACCCGTCAGTCTTGGCCACTGTCCTCATCCTAGGACTCACATCCAGACTTGGCCTTCCAGCCACACGCCTCTCCCCATCCCTGCTGGCTCCCTGACCTCCCTCCTGCCCAGCGCTCTCCTCCCTGCCCAGGCCCTCTGCTCTCACTGCCTGGCCTCTCCCAAACTGCTCACCTGAGCCACCTCTGTAGGTCCAGGGGCAGTGGTCCCCAGCGGCAGGGTGCTCTTCTCAGGGATGTCAGGCTCTTCGCTGGTAGCTGGTCTGGGCAGGGCTCTTGGCCTGGAGGTAGCTGTGCTCACCAGCTTGGGTGTTGGGGCCTCTGTGTCCAAGGCCTCTGTGGTGGGAGGCGAGGGTGCCGCTGGGGTGGTGGCCCGGGCTGTGGCTGCAGTGGTCAGGGGAAGAGGCAGAAGCCTCCATGTGCCGGTGGTCCTTATGACAGAGGTGGTGGCCGTGGTGGGGGCTGCCGCAGGGACACTGGGGGCAGCAGTGGCCACGGTGGCAGGCACTGTGGCCATGGTCGGGGCTCCTGTGGTCGTGGCAGCAGTGGTGGCCGTGGGAATGGAGATGGTGGTGGCTCTCTGGCTTGGCTCTTCTGCGACCTCTGTCACCACAGGGGGGCTGGTGGCTGGCTCCGGGGTGGGGCTCTCAGAGGGGAGTTCTTCAAATGGGGTGCCCACTGGTTGGATGTCCATGGTGGGCAGCACAGCAGGGGTGGTGGACACTGCCAGGGCCACATCTGGGTTGAACCGCACAGCTGTTTCAATGCCTGACTCCTGCTCGAAGTCTGAGGAGATGGGGGAGAGGAACGAGCTAGAGAGTTGGGTGACTATGAGGGGCATGAAGTTCCCAGGCAAGGAATGGCCATTAAGATTGGGGGGCCCCACCCTTCACCTGTTACACCATTTCCCCAGGACAAGATGTGGTTACCAGGTGGCTAATGGCTAGTGAGTGTTCCCCATCTGCTCTGCCTAGCCAAAAATTCCTAGGGCACCACCTCTTCCAGGAAGTCCTCCCTGACTATTCCAGCCTAGTCAGGCCTGGAGCTTCTCGCAGGTTGAATCCAGGCCATAAACTAAGGCCCTACTGGCTGTGAATCCTGCTGGATACTAGGACAGAGGAGGACAGGAACAGCAGGAGAGGGGCATCCTAGGAAAAGAGTCAGAGCTGGATGATTCTTCCCATGAGTACAGTGTGACAGGTACATGAAGGGCTCTCCTGGAGGCACAAGTAGAAGACTAGAGGGAGAAGCTGGGCCAGAAACCAACCCCCCTCGTTTCTATCACTGCCCTCACCCTGCCGCTGGCCGCAGCTGATTGGGCCAGAGGGAACCAATTGAGCCAATTTAATCAATCGTTTCTGCTGAAGACTTGCCGCTAAACTGAGACATGACTGCTAAGTTCCTCCCTCCGAGGGGTGGGAATGGTGTCAAAACTGTGTTCCCCACCCAGGTCAGAGGTGTGCAGGGAGGCCCAGGAAGTGCACAGAGACAGAGAAAGAGCTTGGGAGCTGAGGATGGTCTGTCCTTCTCCTGCTTAGCTCCCTGACTCTGCCCGAGCTCCCCAGGCCCATCGGCCCACCAGCCGTGGGGGTTTCTGCACTGGGTGATCAAAGCCTTGGGTGGAATATTGGAAGCAGAGGGCTTGGCAAGGGGGAGGGGAGGACTTACAGCCTGAGCCCGACCCCGAGTAGAGATCATCCAGTTCATCATCGGGGAAGGAGTCGTCGTCCCCAGAGCCTTCAAGGTCCACGGGCCTCTCAAAGTTCTCGCTGCGCCAGCGCTGAGTCTGGGGAGGATCAAATCAGAGACCCAGGGCTTGGCTTCTGAGGCCATCAGCCTGGACATGCCCAGAGGGACGACAGACACGCCATAGGCCCAGACCACACAGGAATCGCACTGGCGTGGCCTACATATGGCGAGCGGGGCCAGATCTCACAGGGACTGGGGTAGCGGCCCCATCTTCCTGCCCAACAGCCACCACTGGGGACCCTGGTCCATCCCCTGATCAGAACCGCCGGGTGGGAGAACCAGGTATAGAGCCAGATGCTGGATTTGAGTCCCAGCTTCATCACTTATGAAACAGGTGACCTGGGGTGTTACTGAGACTCTCCAGGCCTGTTTACTCACTACCATTAAGCAAACAGAACCGCCTGCCTGGGTGGCGGTGCAAGAATATACCAGCAAGGCCGAGCGCACTGGCACACAGCAGGTGCTCAGCACAGGCTGCATGCCTCCCTCGGTATGGTCAGTTCATCAGCCCCACAAACGGAGCACTAGACTCAGGCGAGGAGGGGTCATCAGCCCCAGGTCACCAGAGAGCACGTGACACATTGAGATTCAGACTCTGCTTGGGGCGCCCGAAGACTCACACCTCAAAACCCAGGCAGGGCAGTCAGACAGACATGATGCTGGGGAGGTCTGGGGCTCTGGAGAGGGAAGTAACTTGGATGAGAGGGGTGGCGAAAAGGAACAGAAGTGTGCAGGCACCCCCAAAACAAGAAGTCAGTTCCCTCCCCTCCCCTCCTCCCAAAGTATCCTGGCATGAACTCAGGGCCAGAATGCCACTTCCGCTCAGCCATGAGGTTCCCTGGCAGGTCAGGAGGGGGAGAGGAGCTTCTCCCAGGGTCCACCTCACCAGGCCCAAGAACCCCGTCTAGCCAGAACCTGGGAAGGATGGGAGCTGGGCTCCTGGGTTGAGACCGCCCCTCTCTACTGCACCCCTGGTGACAGCCAGCACTGGCCCCCCAAGAGGGGCAGGCTCACCCTGCTCCTCCTCATGCCTGTTTCCCAACTGAGCCCAGCCACAGTCCCCCCCAAGAATTTTCTGGAGGAAGGTGACACTGACTGCTGGTTTGAGCTGAACGATTAGCACCTGGCTCTTAAACAACTGAAAGAAAGAAAGGCATCTCAGACAGACAGACAGAACAAGCAAAGGCTCCAAAGTGAGGAAGTGTAGCCTGTGCTCTGGCCGGCCCTGCCTGCCCTCCAGCCTCATCCAGGGTCCCCCTGAACCGCCTCAATCACAGCACTAACAGTCACCCGCCACAGCCACCCAGCCTCTCCGCCCCTACCCCGGGCCCCTTTCTGTTTCTGGAATATGTCTGACCTCCTCGCCTCTTTCACTCACGCTGTTCCCTCCACCAGGGCCACTCTCCCTCCCCATGCCCTCATCCTCCAACTCTCTTCCCATCGCCCTCCTACGGGGATCTGCCCTCCCACATGGATCTTCGGAGCATCTTGTTTCTGAATTCACATCCGTCATCCTGGTGAGCTGTGCCTGCTTGGGCGTATACTGGTTCTGTGACTGCCCATCCCCTCCAAACCATGGCAGCGGGAGCAGGCGTGCCACAGTAAATGTCCAGGAAGCATTCGTTAAAGCAAGGAGCTGGAAGGTGTGAATTATTCCTGCAGCAGAGGTAAGGCAGGGGGGCCGGGGCTGAGGCTGGGATGCCCCCATCTGTGTCTGGCGGATGACTTTGTCTTGGAAACTGATGATTTTTCATCCTGTGCATCAGAATATTGTAAAAGCTGAACTCCGCGCTTCAGCAAGTCTGAGACAGAGTCTGAGATTTGTCGTGGGGCACCACAGAAGGGGTGTGAGCAGGAGGGGCTGGGTCAGCATTGCATTCTGAGCTCCACTCAGCCTCCGCTAGGGTCCCTTCTGGAGTTCAGAGAGAGCTGGAGAGAGGATTCCAATCTTGGCTTCCCGCCCCCCAGCTTCAACCACCTGCTCCAGGCCAGTCAGGGCGGGAGGCCAGGGCAGAGAGCCAGGAGATCCACCCAGTCCCGGTCTCTCTCTCTCTCCCCGCCCGCCCCCCACACTCTCTCACAGACACTCTCTCTCTCTCTGTGTCTCTCTCTGTCTCTCTTTGTCTCTCTCTCTCCAAGTAATGAATTAATCAGTATTTACTTGGTACCCGTGAATCATGGAGAGGAACAATTAGTGTAATTGCTCCTGTGACTAATTGCTGGGTCTTCCTCCATTTTAGACATTCCATAAGCTCAAAGCAGCTATAGTCCAACTTTCCCCTGGTCCCATCTGCCCAGAACAAGGCCTTGGGACCTGGAGTGAGGGAGCTAGACGGTTCCCTGAATTCTGGCCTCCACAGCCTCGGCTGGCCAAGCCTGCATCTGTTGGAGACTTTCTGCTCAGTTCTCAGGCGGCAGCTAGAGAGACACGCGGCTCTGGCTTGGGGCCGCTCCGCAGGATGGGACGGAACAGGGGCCGGGGCCAGGCTCCTGTGCCTGGGCAGGGCCCCTTCAATGTCTTTCTTCCCTTCTAGGCACCAGGAAGTAGCGGAGGCCTTGAGCTGGGTGGAGGGGTTCTAAGAAATCTGTGGTCCCTGGGGACCCCCAAACTAGGGTAAAACAGGGGGGTTATAATAGGAAGTCCCCTCATGCTTCCTCAGGGATCAGTGCTACTGCCAATCCCTAATACCCTGCTCCCAGAAAAGCCTGCACAAATCCAAAGACCCTCCCCAAAGCCACACACCCTTGAAATGACACACCCAGAGACACAGAGAGAACAGACCCAGCACATACACTCACCTAAAGGCAGCCACAGAGAGGCGTCATGTGCCAGCACGCCTTTGGGTGCAAGGCGCATGCATGGGGCGGGGGGGGGCAGGCAGGTGCTGGGTGGGGGCACACACTGCAGCTCTGAGGTTCAGAAACAAGCAGGGAGCTTCCTGTGAACCCATCAGCCTCCACTCAGGTAGCTCTCACCTAGATACTATTCATCCCTAGTGCAGTAGCCATTGACATGACAACCGTTACCATGACGACCATCTTCTCCATGCTAAAGACCAGGAGCTCCAGCTCCCCATAGAGATGGTGGGGGGGGGCAGGAGAGGGAGAGATCAGGGAAGAACAGAGGGTAACAGGGATGGGGGGGCAGAGACACCGGATGAAGCAGCAGGGACAGAGAGAAGACAGGGGTGCAGAGGGGCCCAGGAGGGGACAGGGAGGGGAGTGCAGCGAGGACTCAGCGCGCGAGCAAAGGAGAGAAGGCGAGAGTGGGAGGCAGAGGGAGAGAATTCTCTCACATCTTAATTTAGCCTCATGTGCCTCAGACAAAGCTGGGGAAGGGGCCACTTCGGTGATTTTCCAAACCTCATCCAAGAGAACATTCTTTCCAAGTAATAAGCTGCCCCAAGATGGGCAGAGGAAGGGGTGACCAATAGCCCAGTCACCCCGAGCTCACCCTGGGAAGTTCAGTGGAAGCCCAGACACCTTTGACCTATGGGGGAGGAGTGGGGTGCAGGATGCCCAGTGCCGTCCCCCCAGCCACTAAGTGCCAGCTCTGGCACAGCTGGGGGACCAGGGTTCAGTGGGGTGCAGTCAGGATCTCTTCAAGGGGCTGGTAGCTGCAGGTCCCAAGGGGACGGAGTAGGCAGAGAAAAGGTGGGGGCAAGGAGTGAGGCCCAGAGGCAGCAGGGAAAGCCTCAGAAGTCACAAGGGCCCTAGGAAGACAGTGATGAATAGCCTTTGACCCCCAAATGACCTGTCGTTTGCATAATCCCATGCATAATTAGCATAATTATTCAAGCCATTCCCTTAAAGGAGATCTGAATCCAAATGCCCCAGGACCTGCTGGTCGCCCCCTGAACTGATGATAGACACCTCCACACGCCCGACACACACGTCCTCGTGCACACACAACTCAGTACACACACAGCCACGTCCTCAAAACCACAGCACTGCACACACACCCCCAGCCCAGTGACAGCCACACTGCCCACCTGCGTGGCCAGCTCAGCCCACAGAGCATCCACCCCACCCAACCATCACTCTCACCCAGTACTACAGGCCTGGGTGCTTTCGCACTCACACACACACACACACACACACTCACACTCACACACACACACACATACACGTACCCTCACATAAGGTATTCACACATAACAGCACCCCTCTTCTCAGAACACACCCCACAGATGGCCTCAGCAAAATCTGGCACACACGTCACCACCACACACACACACGTGTGCCCCGAACAAGCACATGGACTAAATCACACACCGCTGCCCACATTCCCCGCCACAGGGACAGCCTCGGACTCCAACACACCCTCACTACTTGTAAACCCCCTTTTCTCAGAGCCATATCCCCCCAGACAGAAGGTGCAGCCGGGGGAGTGTGCTCACTACCCAGGCCTGAGCCTCTACTCTCCCCCCGCCACACCACCAAACCCGGGCGCAGACACCCCAGTGGAGGCTCGGGAGCAGCTGCTGGAGGTCTGAGCTCCCCAGGGGAGTTGTGACAGCTCTCAGGGGGTGCAGGGACCTCCACCCACCACCACAACAGAGGGCCTGCCCCAGGTCAGGTGTGGGACACCCGTAATCTGCCCCACAGCTGCCCCAGGTTTCGGGCTCCCTGCTCATAGGTGTGGGCACTGGGCTGGGGTTTAGAACTGAGATGTAAGCTTAGTCCCTCAGTCCCTGGAACCCTTGCTCCAACATTCTGGGCTCCCCCCAAGCCACTGCTCATCCTGCACCTGTGACCCACAGCCCCCCACATGACCTCAGTTCAGAACTACCCAGTCATCCCTACGAGCCACCCACTCACCAGCACAGGCGCACACGCCACCTGCTCCCAAATACCTACCCCCACTCCCCCTCGCACGCCGCCCACACGCCCTGATTAGGCACCACAGCTCCATACACGGCCCCGCTCTGCACAACCCACCAGCAGGCCCCCAACACCTGCACCCCAGCCCCCACGTGCACACTCTACCTCCTGGAACATAGCAGCATACACACGATGCAGGGTGAGCCAAGGCGC